CATGCTTTCTTGCCACGTGCTAGTGTTTCTCAAGGGGAAATGAGAAGTGGACTTGCTAGGCATGTGAGTTCAGAGTAGCATTATCATTTTACACATCCATCAGCAACATACGTATGTTCCCAATTCCCCCAAAGCCCCTTGACACTTGCTTTTATCAGATTCACATTTTTTTCAGTCTGATGGATAAGAAATGATATCTTAATTATGTATAAGTTGGAGCATCTTTTCATATGTATATAAGCCATTTCACATTTCTGTTATGTTCATATTTTTTGTTGGGGTTTCCTTTGTGCTTATTTGGCTTTTTCTTACTAATTTATAGAAATTCTCTATGTTTCTTATGTGTATGTGTGTGTGTGTGTGTTCTTGATAACAATCTCTTGTATATATAAATCTTTTCCATTTGGATCTTTCTCATCCTGGTTTTGCCACTAACTAGCTCTGGTTTTGGGGACATCATTGTCAAAGCCATTTTTCTCCATTGTGAAAGTGAGAATACACTACCTCTTAGTTATTGTGTTATTGTGAAATGCCAGTGAAAGAGTATATGAGCTCTGTGATTTTTGGGTTTCTCATTTGATTTTCACCAGCCATTTTTCTCAGCTGTAAAGTGAGAACAGAATACACTTCTTTTTAGGGTTATTGTGAAATGCCGGTGAAAGCATATGAAAGTGCTTTGGAAAGTAAAGAATACCTTCAAATGTAAAGTGTTTTTCTTTCTTTGATTTTATTTTGACTCATACCTGAGAGCTGGCTCCTGTGAAGCATCCCATGCAGATTAATCAAATTCTGAGGGGTGGGTGTTACAACATGGGACTTGTCTCTCCTACACTCTCTTGGGGGAGGAAAGAGGTATATAAACAAAATCTGCTCACGCTGAACTCCTGTGTTCTTGGAATGCATTGGGTGGGATGGAGGTGGAGAAGTATGGATATCATGAGAATCCTACCTCTTCACTAGTCATGGTGCTTGTCCCAAGGATTGACATAGTAGAATCTGGTCATCTATGGAACCAAATGTCAACAAAGTTAGAATTAGCCTTTCTTTTGTTACGGTCCACTACTCAGGTAGAACACGAGTTTCAGAGGCAGCTGTTTTGTTCTACCAGTTAGGGAACATATGAGGGTTTAATACCCATTCTGGTTACCTTTTTGACTAGAGACTGCCCTCAGCAAACAATTAACTGAAACATCGTGCCATCCTATGGTTTGGGGATACTCATACTGAGATACCACCCTTAGACCCAGACAACCTGTGTACCTGCCCTGTATCCTATGCTGTGTGTGGGTGTGAGAGAGAGAGAGAGAGAGACAGACAGACAGACAGACAGACAGGGTCTTGCTCCATCTCCTGGCCTAGAGCACAGTGGCTTCATCATACATAGCTTACTACAACCCCAACTCCTGGGCTCAAGTGATTTCCTGCCTCAGCCTCCCGAGTAGCTAGAACTACAGGTGCACATCACCATGCCTGGCTAATTTTTCTATTTTTTGTAGAGACGGCCTTGCTCTTGCTCAGGCTGGTCTACACTCTTGGCCTCAAGCAGTCCTCCCACGCTGACCTCCCAAAGTGCTAGGATTAAGGCGTGAGCCACTGCGCCTGTGTTGTCCTGTGCTTTTTTGAAGGCTCCTCCTGTGGCCATATATGCCCCTTTGTAGACCACTCTCCAAGTACCTAGGACCCAAGAAGTACCTGACAAAATATCCTGAGCCTGCTTCCAGGGCTTGCAGAGTCTGTCTGCTTAATCAAGCGATTGGACCCTACCCATGAAATATGTATCCCTAGGTTTCAGGTGTAGCTAAAGGGTGACTGAGAGGGGTGTTTTTAGAGCTTGGACATACTAGTTTGAACACATATGCATAAGGCCTCTTGGGGTGCAGGAAGGGACTGGAGTGTGGGAAAAGCAACAGGGAGGTGGATTTGGATCAGAGTCCTCCATTTGGACTCTTGCCCCAGCTCTGCAGCTGTCACGTTAGGGTCAGGTTTACCCAGAGGAGACACTCCCTTTTGACCAGCTGTTATTTTATGGGTTTTTTGTTTTTTGGTTTTTTTTTAAGCCATTGGGGAAGGTTTTCTTCACCACTCATTTAGAGACTGAGTATAGCAGGCTCAACATAGGGTCCAATTAATCTTACTGAATAATTCACAGAGAGTGGGATGGGGAGGTGGGACAAGTGAGTTTCCTGAAGGGAGGTGCTCTTCAGGTGTCTCTCCTTTGTCTCTCCACTTGGTAGGCGATGCTGCTGATGCTTTGTGAAAAGGAGGAAGGATTCTGCTGACACACTGAATTTTTATGAAAGAAAGCTAAGAGTTCCCTTATCTCTCTACACAAGGCACATCTGCCTGCAGACAGACTGTTTGCTTCTTAGGGATTCCTTCGTCATCGTTTTATTTCTTTTCTGAAGGTTTTAAGGCACAGTTTGGTGCATTCCTTTCTGTTCTCCAAAGCCAGGGGGGGAGTCTGTGCATCAGGGCTCTTGCTGAAGAGCTTAAAATGGGCGCTGGCAGCTGGGATGTGGGGAAAGAGAGCTTTCCAGGGACAAGTGACCTGCTTGTTCAGCCAATAAGAAGCAGGTTAGAGTAATGATATCACCAGACAGGCTTTATTGTCTGATCATCTCATAAAAGCAGGATTGTGTCTGGCAACTTAACCCTTTTTTAGATACTTCAGGTCTCACCCACACCCTGGTATGTGACCTCTAGATTCCTTTTTCCGACTGTCTGCTGTGAGACCACAGAGATTAAAGACTTAAATTAGTGGAGAATTTGGGGGAATTGTAAACAATCATCTTAAAAAATGGAAATTATTAAAATATAGAACCACAGCTAGCATGGAAATGTGATCTAAGCTGTGTCTGGAGAGCACATCTAAAGTGAATATTGGTCATAGTCATGTTACATTGAATTTTTACTGTGTAGATTTGGGAGGCAAGGGAGATCAGAGGGAAAAAAAGATTGAGCCTTTAATGTATTTTAATCTATACAATGGGGTCTTAACTAACTATTTCCTGTTTTGGAAGAATTGAAATTTGTTCTGCAAATTTGGAAAGTATGTTGTCACTCATCCAGAGGCCAGTTTCGAGTAGGAGTTATTTATTTGTAGTGTTTTTTTATTCTTGTATTTCTTTATTGTTCCTTCTCCCATAAAAATGACAGTGATTTTACTTCTTGTTGCTTCCTTTCCCTCGCTGGTGAAATGAATGGTCCTACTCTATCCTATTAAGTTGTTGAGATAAGAAAATTAACTCTGGATTTTTAGATTGTGCTACACACATGTAATGTCTTAGTATTAGGGCATTCATGTCTTAAGATTGTATGTTCATTAATTCATTCATTTGTTCAGATTTTTTACAACACCTTTTTGATGCTGGGCACAAGGGATACAGAGAGAGAAAAGATGTAGTACTTACTCTTAAGGAACTTAAAGCACCATGAGGGAGACAGACGATAATAATAAAACTGTCTCATACATCCTATTGTGTTTACCATGTGCCAGGCCCTGTTCTAAGCACCTTGACATATATTAACTCATTTAATCTTACTGCAGCCTCACGAAGTAGGTACTGTTATTACTGCTCCATTTTACAGATAAAGAAATTGAGACACAGAGTGGTTAAGTGACTTACCTGAGGTCACACAGCTAGTGGTAGATTTGGGATTTGAATCCAGGCAATGGGGCTCTATAATCTGTGCTTTAAATCTAACCTGACCAATAGTCACTAGCCACATGTATATTTGACTTGTAATGTGGCTAGTTTAAATTGAATTGGGCTATAATTGTGAAATACACACTAGATTTCACAGCCCTAGTATGAAAAAATATATAAAATATCTCATGTTGAAATTCCATGTTGCAATGATAATATTTTGAATATACTGAGTTAAATATATCAGAATTAATTTCACTTTTTTATTGTAGCTACTAGAAAACTTAAAATTACACATGGCTTGCATGTGGGCTCACATTATGCTTTATTGGACTGTGCTACTCTAAATCATTACATTGAAATAATAATAGCACATGACATTTTCTTAAGAAATTTTTTTTGGAGACAGGTTCTCACTCTGTCACCCAGGCTAGAGGAGTACAGTGGTATGATCATAGCTTACTGCAGCCTTGAACTCCTAGGCTCAAGTGATCTCCTGCCCCAGCCTCCCAAGTAGCCAGGACTACAGGTGCACACCACAACGCCTGGCTAATTTTTAAATTTTTTGTAGAGACGAGGTCTCTCTGTGTTGTTTGGGCTGGTCTCGAATTCCTAGCCTCAACCTGTCCTCCCAAGGTGCTGGGATTATAGGTGTGAGCTATCACACCCAGCCATGTAATTCTTAGGCACTATGTGCCATATACTCTGCTAATACCTTTACAAACACTATTTCAATTAGGACTCAGAAAAGCCCTATTTATTATCTCTATTTTATAGGAGGGGTAGAAGGTTTTGGGAAATTTAGTAATTGGCCTGAGATTAATTAGCTAGTTAATGATGGACCTCAAATTTGAAACTGTTTATTTCTGACTCACAAACCTGTGTTCTTAATCAGCACACTGTAATCTTGTTTCCAATTGAATCTCAAGGTATTTTCTTTGTTTTAATTTTCCTAAGAATATTTAATATTGAATACTTCTATATCTGACATGTAAAGGTTCAAAATGAAATTTACTAGGCTGTAACATAGACATCCTGGATGGAAATCTCTTTTGCAGAGCCTCAGTGAATGCCGGCGATTGAGCCTGAGATGAAGCAGTGAGTCAGCCTGCACAAATTGCATTTAATTTTCATTCCATATAGTTCTCTCAGGTCACTGGGCAATTTATGTCCTGACCCTCTTTGTTTATAGAGGAGGGGAAGAGGGGCAATGCAGCTCTCTTTAGTTGTTTAGTTCTCTTGGCCGATGAGAAGAAAAAATTGCTTTCCATTTCATTGTCCTTTGAAACACTATTTGTGTTTAAGAGACCAACAAAATGCTTTGTAGTGACCCCTGACTTTTCTTTCTTCTAGAGCAAAGACTCAGGTGGACTGAAGGCAGCTATGATAGAGTTGGTGGAAAGGTTAAAGTTCAAGAGCTCAGACCCTAAGGTAAGTATTGTTTTGTAATTGATTGGGTGTTAGTACCCCAAGCATTTTATTCTCCTCGAGCTTAATTTGAGGGGTGTTAATGATCACCTATCTGAACATTGCATTAAGATCTAATTAAGCCTGCCCATCAAAAATAATGTTCTAATATGCCTGGAGATAAGTCATCTATTTTTCTCCTTCTCTGTTTTACGACTTACAACACATAATCATTAATTGTTTTCCCTGAACTGGAGACAAGTGCGTTTTTAATCTTCCTTTACTGGGCCTTTGAGAGTTCGGTCCTTTGTGTCCATTAAATCTAGCCAAAGGCATCTGAGATACTGTTCAGCTTAAAGCTGGGGACTGGAACAGGATCCAGACCCATCCAGTTTGTCTTCAGCATTAGCATCTAGTCTCTCCCCCACTTACAGGAGCCAGCTGCCACAGAGAATGCTTTTGTCCTCATGACCTGGAGTCTGGTTTGTGAAATAGCTTAAGCATCCCAGCTTTTTTTCAAGATGTTAGGGGCTGGAGGGTTGATATTCTGGGAGATGCCAAACCAGGATGGGAGTGGACTTGGAACTGAACATGCCAGGTTGGGGAGGGGGGAATTATGACTAACAGACTCCCTTCTCCTTCCTACCCAGATGCTTACTGTGGCACTACCTGGTATTGGGTCACCTGACTCTGCTTCAGACTGAAAGCCTGTCACAATTAAATAGGAAAAGGAGCATGATTTTATTTTACTTTGCGTGTCTTTTTTTTTTTTTTTTTGTACAGTATTTATAGGGGGAATGGGACTAGCATTTATTTCTTGAGCATCTTACTGAGAGCCAGGTACTGTTAGGAGCCTTACATAATTGTGCTAATACATAACAAAATTTTAACCATTTTTAAGTGTAAATGTCAGTGACATTAAGTACATTCACATTGTTGTACAACCATCACCACCTTTTCATTATTCCAAACTGAAACTCTTTGCCCTCTAACTCCTCATTTCCTCTTTCCCCCTATATACTTTTAGATTACAGTAACAACCCTGTAAAGTAGCTTATTATTCCTGTTTTATCAATAAGGACACTGAGACTTAGGTAGAGCCATTTGCTCTAAATCTGGTATAAAGTAGAGGTGAGATTAAGACTTTGACTCCAGTGCCTGTACTCTTTTATGTGATGTTGTAAACCACGCACCAGATTTTATCTCCTTTCTGCCATATGATCACATTGTGCCTCAGTTTTCTAAGTTGAAACACTATATGAGGCGTAGCCACAGAGAGTGACAGGCTCTTCAAAAGGTGACTGCAGCTACCAATCTACAAAATAATTTTCCCTTCCTATGACATTGAAAGTATGGGGGCATTGATCATCTCTCTTGTCTTCTGGTGTACTTAAATTTTCAGAAGTAGAGAGTATCTTGATAGAAAAAATTAGGGTAACCTTTATCAACTTGCCTAGCTCAAAGTAGGAGGACCTCTGGTATAAGTAGTTTTTCCTTTAGTAAAGATGAACCAGTTATTAAAGGTTCCTGAAAGCTTTTCTTACCAAGTTTCTCTGATTTCTGGGGCAACAGCCTATGCTGAGGGAGACACTGTATTTTCTGTTTCTGCCACACTGGTGTGCTTGTAATCAGCAGGACAGTGAAGAGGGAGAGGATGTGTACAAATGACAGTGGCCTCTGTATATGATGATAATACAAATTGCTTTGAGATCCTTTGTCAATGTATGTAGTGCTTGTGATGGGAAACTTGCCAGAAATGAAAGAATTGAGTGGTCCCATGAGAGGAACCCATGGAAGCCTCAGGGTTTTCCCATGATACATGATAAGTTAAAGGATGTTTGTATGGACCTGACTTGATCTTGGGTATATGTGTACACACACCTCTCTTTTACATTCTCTTTATGTTGCCCTGGATCATTTACCACCAACCTACTTTATTTTCAAGCTCCTCCTTAGTCTACCACGTGCATATGCTGTATGTATTTGGAGCCAGCCTGAAGAAGGGTGAACATAATTGTAGAATGACTGCTAGGTCAGGAAGGGGGGTGAAAAATGGGTGACTTGAATATATATAATTTCTGCAACAAAGAAAATTTTTCTGAAAGTAAATTGGTGTCTGTTAAGAGACCCTTAAGTTTTTAGTGTGTTCTGTTTTTTCTGCAGAACTCCACCATCCCCTGTTTGAGTTGGCCTATTTAAGAAGTGCAGAATCTCTCAGGCTTTGTGACCTGTCATTGCCTGGCACAGAGGCTTTACATAGAAGCACTGATTGAGTCATGGAGAATCGAGCACTATCTCTGCTTCACTTCCTCTAGAATTCCCTAAAGCATCACAAAGCTTGATTAGTTCAGACACTAAAGTCTACTAGGCACTGAGTTAATTTTTACCTCTGAGTTTTGCCAGAGAGCAATAGAAGATGCCTATATTAACCATTTTTTAAAATTATAAAATAATACATGCTTGTAGATTAAAAAATACAGATATTCCTAAAGGAAAAGTAAAATGAATTTACCCAAAATTAACCCATATGGACAGTTTGGTGTACAACCTTCTAGACATTTTTCCCCATGGAGATACATTTTTAACAAAATTATACCTGTGGTTTTTCAGTTGTTTTTTTCAATATGTAGAATATCATAGTATTCTTCTCTGTCAATAATATAGACTTAATTCTTCTTAATGAGTTGCCTCATTTTATCCCAAACATTTGTTAGATGCCTCCTTTTCTTCCAGACCCAGTGGTTCTTAAACTTCAGTGTGCATGAAAATCACCCAGAGAACTTACTA